TTAATGCTTTAAACGGTATGTGAGTCATATATGCGGGTATGAAACATTGACTGACTATAGTGTGATCATTGAAGAAGTAAAAGGTTACAGACATTACGATCAAAACTTTATGGAATGTCGTCATTTATCTGATTTTTAAGAAATATTTCTTTCAAATAAGTAGATATCTTAAAGAAATACTATTATTTCCTTGTTGGTGCGTCGGTGGTATAGCGGTTAGGACGCTCGCCGACCATGCACATGGTCCAGGGTTCGATCCCTGTCTGACTCACTCCTTTACCTCGCTAAGCCAGAAATAATACTGGTGAAGAGGAAAGGTTGGGCATGAGGCTAGCAACCCCATCCTGTAAAATAAAATAAACACTGCTACAGAAACTTCAAGCCACTAGCTTGAAGCCCTATGTTCCACTGGTAACGTGAAGGAAAAAATTATTTCCTTGTTAGTACTGCTTCTGTGAGAGGAGGAGGAGTTAAACGCAGTTAAACAGGATTCTAAAATGAAGCTATTACTAGTCGGCTGCAGTGATAACTTATAATAAAAAGATGTATGAAGTGTCTACTGTATATCATTTGATCACGTCGTAATCATTTTGAGTATCTTAACGAGAATAATTTCTTTAAAATAAACTTCGGTGACAGTGTAGGTGGTACATGTGAATCGCCATGGTCTTTAAGATACGACCAAGGATATAGGATACCCTAAAATACTCTAGTCTGAATGAGCACCACCTGAACACAAGTAGATACAAAGTATTCCTGATGCGACAGACTGCATACAGCAGCATAAAATCATGAAAATGCAATTTTCAATGTTTATCTTTGAAGCCTGAGGCCTGTATGTATCCGTGAAGCAACATTTCCTGTCACAGACTAGCAATTACTCTGGCGCCATCCAAGGAATTACCACATAAGACTTTTTCCTATTCATAATTTAATGTCAAATATTTAAATAATTTATTACTTATGCTATTGCGTGAACATAGCAACTCTACAATAAACGGCATTATTAGGGTATGTTTTCAACTCGTTCATAAAGCACAAAGCACATGCCACAGTGTGTAAAATTTTACTTCTAACTATTAAGAATGCGACAAAAAAACACCAATTCTTTAAAAGTAATCATGAGTACTCGGTTTTCATTTTAACCTAAGCTAATTATGCAGTAAGACGAAAATAACGTAACTTTAATCTCTGAATGAAGCTTGGATTTTCATATAACACTAGAGATAACAATAATTAAAATAAACCATGGGGATTGTGGTCAGCATTGACAGTTGATAATTTATTATTAGTACTAAAACTTTGGTTTTATCCCCATGATAGCTTTCACTAACGAAGAAACAATGTTTCACCGTTGAAAGGATTTTAAAAATGTTAGTGGTTGATTTTTTTATCAGTCAATAAAGGGTTTAAATAATAACCTAACCTAGGGATTATGAGATCCAAGCCCACGTTTCAACATAATTCATCAATTAATATTTAAGTAATATCACAAAATGCTTATTTATACTTTTGGTTTCAGGTTGGAATGTCTGGACTGAATTCTCCAGCTTTATTTCGATAAATACTCTCCTTAAATGGGTGCTTGGTATTACTGTCGGCACGTGTATTTTATCCTATTTAGAACTCTTCAGCTGAAATTGCCTAATCCTAGGGAATGATTGCATTCTTTCTGAGACTCGAACCCAGTACGGATCGCTTTAAAAACCAAAGTAATTTTTACTGGCCCACTGAAATACAAGACCCACTCCTTTAACATGCTGATTTCTGGACTATCTTAGATTGACATTATTATTATTATTGTTATTTTGTTTGAGGATGTGAAATGAGTAAGGAGACATTGTATTAATCTGCTACCATGATATTTTTAATGAGTTTGCCAGAATCCTAACTTGTTTATTTACACTGAAGATTTAATCGCTTTTATCTTTTACCTTTTGAGTGTCGGTGGCACAGCGGTAGCTTGCTCACCAACCACGCAGGTGGTCCGGGGTTCTATCCCCGGCCGACGCACTCCTTTACCTCACTAAGCCAGTAATAAGACTGGTAAAGGGGGAAGGTTGGGCATGAGGCTAGCAACCCCATTGTAAAAATAATTACCACTGCTACAGAAACTTCAGGCCTCTAACTTGAAGCCATATGTTCCACTGGGAACGTAAAGGAATAAGAAAAAATCTTTTACCTTTTGCAACGTAACTTCATTCAACAGACTAATAACTAACTATAGTTCTGTTTTACATGAATGGGACTAGTAAACACCGACTAATTATACTTAGAAAATAAGAAACTAAAACATCATTATATAATATCTGGATAAAAACCTACATATTTATAAATGGTTGAACACCAAAATAAAACAAAACATTTAAGAGCCTTTAGCTTACAATGTTAGTATACCTATGATAAGTGAACTTCTTGCCTAAATTAGGACAACGGCAACTGAGAATAAAGACAACACTGAGGTTACTGAGACGAATCTGACTAAATTCAAAAACAAACGTTCTCAATTGTTACTGAATGACATATATATAGAATCTAATGTTAATAGGTAAATTCACTCTGCTGCTTGAGTCAAAGAAATAAATAATCTTCATGATGATTTGATAACCCTATTTTGTTGTCTTTATATTCTGGTTTTGCTAGAAACTCAATGCAAAAAGACAACAACTGGCTTTCAAATTAATCCGTATAGTATTGGTTCTTTGTGTTTTATACAAATTGATGGATACTAAGAGAGTATCTAATGAACTTACATATGGGAATAAACATGTATTAAATATTCAAGAATATATGAGCTTTCATTTAAATAGGTGTCTCGCATAACTTGACTATAAAAAATAAGTATCAGTTGAGGGAAATACATAAAGTACGCATACTTGCATAAAACAGACTGCGAAATGCAAATCTCAGTCTCAATTTACTTGCTCGTGTGGAGCAAAGTATATTGGCCGTACGCAACGTCAAGCCACAAACGTATTCTGGAACACTATCCAGCTTGGTTAGCCAAAAGAGAAAAGAAGAATAGCAGCAGCTCTATCCGCGAACACCTTGTCATCTCGAGCACCCCCGCATGAATGCTTCACAGTGCTACACAGAGTCCCTCAATATCATACAAAGGGACTTCGCATACGCCATCTTTACATAGCTAAATCATTGGCTATTCGAGATCTGAAACCGGACCTCTGCATTCAAAAGCGATACATACATTCACTCGCCTTTTCGTGGCCAGATTAAATTCCTTACTTTAATTTTGCTTCTTTTTTTTATTATCTCATGAAAAGGAATCGCCGAAAAGAAAATTTTCTTCGCTGTTTACGCCTTTTTTTCTCATAAATCTCAATCTGCAAATTAGTTCGCAGTTTACAAAGTTTGTGATGAAATCTCGCTACAGTTTACTTTGGAAAGCTACATTATTCAGATTATAAAACGTGGTCCGTATGATACCATAAATAGTAATGAAGAAACCAGACCTATATGCATTGAACTGCATATACTACTGATTAACTGAGATTAGTAGTTGTATACCACTCATATCAACCAGTAGCGCTTGCCTACTAGACAGATCGAAGTGATCTAAACACTACTGGACGGCTATTTCGCCCGTTCGCGGCTAAGCTCATCAGTGGTGTGTCCAGTTCAATTTAGTTCAGAAAGCTGAATCACTTCAAACCACCAGAATAATAGCTAGCTACTTAGGCGAACTGATCAAATCATAAATATCTTAAATAGTATTTAAGAAAACCATGCGTAAATGCATAGACCTGTTAAAATGTAGTGACAACTCAGAAAATGTACTGAAGAGTAAACTTTAGTATACCGGATACTGGTGTTAGTCTGGAAATGTATACTTTAAACTAGACTTTACATGAAACAGTAATCAGTCACTGAAAAAACGTGTAATAGTTACGCAGTGAAAATCTTTTAACTTATACAAGGCATACTGCGTAGTGTTTAACCAGTTGTAAAAGTAGAACATATAGCATGTATCTAAACAAAAAATAGAATATTGTTATATGCAGTATATGCAAAAGATTACTTGTTGAAACTAGTAATAAATTTAGTATAATAAACATATCACACAAATATATGGTGTATCAAAATAGACACATTTATTGAGGGATTATATATTCAAATTCAACCAGCACCAATCACCATCAACGGGAGAGACTTAACAGAGGTTGCCTCCTTCACTTATTTGGGAAGCATCGTTTCAACTACAGGCGGAACGGACGAAGATGTCAAAGTCAGGCAGAATCGGAAACGCAAGATACGCCTTCATCAACCTGAAACCAGTTTGGAAATCTTCTGCACTGACTCAGCCAGCATAAAGCACAAGATTCGGATTTTCAACACAAATGTAAAGACAGTCAGTCAGTTCTTCTATACGGGTCAGAAACTTGCACTGCGTGTCACGAAAAGGATTTTCAACACGCCACTTCAGACTTTTTCAAAGTGCCTTGCTCACTCAAGATCAAATGGCTGGCCAGAAAGAATAAGCAACAAGAAACTATAGGAACAAACCAACCAAGAGCCGATTGCTCAACAAATATGTAGGAGAAAGTGGAGATGGATCGGGCACACGTTGAGGAGGCCGCCGAATGACATCACGGAATGCAGGCTCTTAAGTGTAATCTAAATGGGAAGCTACTAGTAGGTCGTCCTAGGGTGATATGGAGAAGATTGTGTGAGGAAGAGATGAGAGAGTTTGGGAAATCGTGGACCCAGCTGAACAGGACAGTAGAAAATAGAAGAAGGTGGAGATGTGTATTTAAGCCTATGTTCCACTCGGAACGCAAGGGAATAATAATAGTAATAATATAATATTCAAATTCAACTTAGAAAGATATCCTAGTACTCCTACTTATGAGACTACATAATAATAATTAATTGATAAAAAAATACATCTATATTTCCATTTTTACATTTATTTTCAATATTAAAAACATGATTGTTTAAATACCCCAACAACAACAACAAAGAAAAAAAAGAATTTAACTTACCACGAATAAAAAATTCAAACAGAAAAGTATAAATTTTGAGGCCGTAAAGCACCAAGCCATTTTGTACGAAATTTGACTTGTGATTTTATGGTTAACAGTAAGCTAGAGGCTAATGAAAATATATATGATTGTTTATTATTATACAAGGATTGATAAATACCTCCTTCCAGTTATGAAAGAAAGAAAAGAAAAACAACAACAGCTTGAACTGTTGTTTACTACAATGAATGCACCGTAAACCAGTTATTTACACCTATATAATAGGCGAATACAATTTCCTCTAGCTTAGTAAGTAGGTAGGTAGGTAGGTGTATTCAGTAGTCTTTTATTTATGAATATGCGTGCTCATGTCTTTCTGTGCATAAATGTGTGCAGCAGTGTACCAGTGTGTATTTGGCTACAAATGTGTATGTGTATGTGTCGGTGTGCATGCACATGAGATGTGCTCTTCAGACTACAACAATAACGATCGAGTTCACCAAGTGAAAATTGTATAATCTAATTCGTTTACTGGTCGGCCAACACACACACACACATATGGCCTGTATGATAATTGGATATTATGAAATTGATTAGAATTACAACACAGTACAACATTGTGTCTAATTCTTATGCTATATATATATATAAACTGGATTAAAATTCTCGTTGAGTCTCCCTGTCTCATGTTCTCTAACTCATAGTGTATACGTTGTCGTCACTATACACATATCTGTGCTTCTTTCTTTCTTTCTTTCGCTTATTCTCTTTCTCTATCTTATTTGACGTTTTCCGTTAAGTGATGAGTGAACTGTATATGAATAATCAAGAAGGCTATTCAGTAGGCCAATCAATCTTAGAATGTAAATTATCATATGTGGGTGTTGAAGCAAGTGTATAACTGTAGCTTACATAACATATATACAGTGTAGATATGTAGTAAAATATGCTTCACAATTTAGATAGATATATATGTATATGAAATGAATGCCATAACAATGGAATGAGAAATCTAAATAAATAAGATTCTAAAAAATTTTTTAATCCATTTTTGTTATCATAAGTAACCTTTTTCAAAAAATAAATAAACAAAAGAAATAATGACTTCATTAAAACCATTAGTAGAATAAAGATAGTTATTCAGAAAGCCCTATCAAAGTGAGTTGAAAAATGTATTAAAGACACAAGTTTTGAATAGTTGGCTTATTCAAACTAAATAATAAAGACTCAGTGTTTCAGTCTAAATCTTCTAGACGAATATAAGCAGTTATTAATACAGTGAGAGACTATTGAAGTTTATAAAATCAGATACGAAGACAGTCAAAGACAACACTAAATAGTGTTTGGTAGACGTGCATATTTTGATTTGACACTAGTAACTAGTGTGATGCGTCTAGTCCTCTCTTTGGTGCAGACTGAATTCTATCAGTCAGGTTGTAATGTGGCCACCATTCTAGGTAGCTCGCCATCACGGTGTACATTGTTTGTGATGATATTAGATGGTTGAAGGCAATCGTCAGGAAGCCTTGGACTTAGGTTTCGTGCTAGTTGGCACTCGTCAGCAAGGCATATCTGCAACCTTGAAGGAATTCATGTCCCTTCTGAGATTCGAACCCGCGTCACCCAGTGCTGCAGTCAGAGACGTTACCACTGAGCTATTCGGGCTGGCGATTGACCTCCTGTAGGATTGTAGTTACTAGTGTCAAATCAAAATATCCACTACAGTCCTACAGGATGTCAATCAGTGGTAACGTCTCTGACTGCAGCACTGGGTGACGTGGATTCGAATCTCAGAAGGGACATGAGTTCCTTCAAGGTTGCAGATACGCCTTGCTGACGAGTGCCAACTAGCACGAAACCTAAGTCCAAGGCTTCCTGGCGATTGCCTCCAACCATCTAATATCATCACAGACGTGGAGATTGTAGACTTCTGGATTCTAGTCCGTCCACTACGTGAAATGTCATCTATCCATAATATGAAGTTTTTAAGTCCAATCAGTCGAAAACTATTTATAATCACTTAAATGAGGTGTATGAGAAGACAGAAAATATTCATTTCATTTTCATTCTTTTTTCAGTAGTCCAGTTTCATCAAATTTTCTTTTCATAAGTGTGATCGCCTCGCTATCCAAGAGATAAGTAATTCGTGACCTCAGTCAGAGGACTTTTAAGAACGAGGGAGTACCAGAAAGCTGTTTCGTCCTCATTTGCGACTTTTTGGCAGTACAAACACATGGCCACATCAGGCATCGGACCCAAGACCTTCAGGTTACAAGGAGAGCTGGTTGTCCATCCATCCACTGGTACGGTACCCAGTGGCCCATGAATTCTAACTTCCACCAGTTCACGATATATAGCGCCACCACCAACCAACATCATCGGCGAGTGTTTATTTTCATCCCCAACTTGGTGGACTCTGATGGTCGCGACTTGCCACTACAACTCCAGGCAACTTCATCCTGTAGCTAGTTACTAATTAGCACTAAATTAATTTTCAAGTGTTAGTTTTTAGAGTTTCGATTGATTATTTTAGGTAACTTTTAACTGTTACATTGAATGGTATTCATAGAATTCTTTTCTTGACTTTGCAGTGACTGAAAAATACGGGAAAACACTGGAATGGAGTACCTATAGTTAATGAATACCTGGATCATCGGCTTTTATACTGAACCCATTGTTAGATGCTTATTTCAGTGATGGCAGCTTTTCACATCACTGATCATTTATGTGGAACAGCCGATATGTGTACACTTTCCAAACATCCTAAAACAACAGCAATCCCAGTGAGACTATACACAGTTTTTTAGGTGATTTTGAGAGAGTCTCCTCAAACGCTATCAAACTTTAATGGATAGGCGGATGCTAGCATTAAAAGAATTCAGTGTCTCTGCTGATGAAATCTACAATGTATCTGTTTGAATAGTATATTACAGGAACCTCTGTCGTTTTGAAAAGAGGTGTAACCATTTATACTGAGTATATTCCATTAAAGCTTGTTTATTATATAAAACTCATGCAGTTTAACACTATAAGAATGGTTTAGTACCTGTCGCGAACATATGGAAAATTCTACTTCCCATAGGGCAGTTGGGATAGAATAACTAGAACTATAAGAATCAAATTTCGAAGTTGTGCAGTTATATTCGTCATAATTATAAATGACAAACTATGATCGAAGCATCTTTCAGTAAATAAGACTGTTTCACTGGTCATCTAAGCAATAAACAAAGCAGTATTGAATTACATACAACTACATTGTTGAAATTCAACTGGTATTACCATTGTGGATTGTGTAAAGCACTATTCAGAAAGTAAATTTAAAAAATTATATGACCGTATATAATGGAGTTTATTAAAAACAGCTATCAGCTCTTTCTTCATTTGTTTTAATTTTCCTTAGGCCACACAAAAACAATGACAACGTTAGTTTTCAACGTGAAGTTTGCTAAGCTTGCTAATGAAACAGACTAGAATCAAAATAGGCATAAAGTGTCATCTTTACAATGGTTGACTTTCTATCTGGAGACCACACTTTTGATTCCAACTTCACAAACTGTGATTCTGACAACTAGGAAGTATCATCAATCGACTTTCAATTCATGAAACAACTGTGTCAATGTAGTTGAAGAATGAACGATCAATTCATGGTTGTTTACTCAAAACCAACTCCATATTTTGGCGGGAGTCACCGATACTACAGTCATCGTTCCATCGTACGCTGTTCGTTAGAAGACGGAGAAATACTATCAGAAGTATTATTGTGATTAATTGTTATGACATTTATTCTTAGATTTTGTGTATAATAACCTTATGGTTGGTTCCATATTGGTGCAAGAATAAAGGATTCTTGAGTCACCAATCTGTTCTGTTTTTTCGCGTTGGTTATTGCACATTGTTGCTGAAGGTCTTCTAAGGACAGCGTTAAGTCCAGTGGACACTGACAAACTGTATGTAAGTGCAAATGACTACTGTACTTCATTTCTACATATTTGTTCTTCTCAGATTCAATTGAAAGTGGCACATTTCATTATATTACCTGACGCAATAATTATCACACTTATTACTGGAATTCCATTTTCCTTGAGGACAAAAAGAAATACGAAAGTTGTTTAGTGTATCGTAAGAGCTTTTCACCTCCACTGCAAACTTCTCAAGTGTCAGTTTAACATGGAGATCATATGAAAAGGAGATGAAACCTTGGGGGCAGTCGGTATTCAGTAATTCTTTAACTAGTATCTTTTCTTTACAACATACAACTTGTAATTTAGTGAAATACCCACAAACCCATCGACCTAAGTTAAACACTGCCTCCATTCTATTTTCATGTCATCTTGTAAACGACTCTGCATATTATACAATTTCTTAACATCATGCTTATGATTGTTTTCACCTACTGTGAATAATACTCGTGACAATGCAATATTCCGTAGCACACTTTTAAATAGAGGAAATACCAAAAGTGCCAGGGAATTTCTAGAAGCCTGGTACTCAGATGAATCAGTAATTAACAAACACATCACTACAGACCAAATCTACCAACTAATTAAAGTTAAATCACATGACAAGTGAGGTTCAAATTCCCAGTCTATAAAAAGGATCAATACAGATGTTAATGAACAACTAGTCACGACAGTGGTTGACAGGAAACACAATTACATCATTCATGGAGAATTCAAATAAGTTCATTTTATACTAAGACTTGCACTGAAGATGTTGTCTAGAAGGACGATGAAAGCTTTGCAATTAAATCAAATAGCCCAGAGAACAAAACTAATTGCAAATCATCCACCTGAGCTACAAATTTCCTCTCTTATTTTACAACTGTGCAAAACTGCTATCTGCAGAAAAACAGAGTCTGTGGAAAAGGGTACCTTCAATGCGCTTCTTGAGTTCATCTATTAGTCTCTTCAGTTTCTTTGTTATAATTCTGATTTTTTTTTTAACTAAATGTGTGCAGAATAAAATCAATATGTGTCTCATCACTATTCAGTTAGAAAGAATTCGAAAACTTCTCGATGAAATCTATGTATATCACATTTGGAAGCAATTATGATTTCGTTTTATTTTTCTGATAAGAATAACATTGATAGAATTTCTAATGAGTCATATTTGGTAACTGAGTCACTGCATTTTAATGAGTAATATTATTGATTTTGTGAAAAATGATTTAGTAATTCAGTCTCTCTTCCATGTGAATTACGTAACGATATTTAGTATTGGCGGTTTTTCAGTAAATATATATATATTTAGTCTGTTCTGTCAGATAACAGATGAAAACAACCTCTTTGTTTCCACCTACATATTTACAGCTATATTGCGTGGAATAAATTGCTGTTCTTCTGTCAGTGTATTACAGTTTTATTTAAACCTTTGAACAAATGAACATTTGATTGGTTGCAGGGTTTCATCATGAGCTGACATTGGTTAGAGAACCACTGGAAAACCTTGAGGCAGTAGTGGACAGCTGTTTCGTCCTCGTTTGGGACTCTTCGTCAGTGCGCGACCGCCGCCACGGTTCGAACCCAGGACCTTCTGGTTACAAGGCTAGCCAAGGCTCATAGACCATTAAGCCACTAGGACTCGATCCAATGGCCAGTCCATGAATTCCAG